AGTACATCGCTCGAAATTCTCGACGTTGCGAGGAGCAGTGAATAAAGGTTAAGCCTTCTTTTCTTCTTTCTCTTTACATTTTCTCTCTCTCTGATGATGCGACGACCGGTGCGCGTTGAATAAGATAGCCAAGAATTCACGTGCCGGCTATCTAAAGGTTCGCGCTTAAGTTTAATTTATAGTAGTGTAAGTCGCGACCGGCGAATCGTCCAGGCGCCCACGTGCAGGGCAATTCATCCGGTATTGGTTCGCGTAATTTTTAAGTAAGTTTGTAATAGGTTAAGTATGCGAATAGGTATTAGGACGAAATGCGAAATATTTATCTGTAATTATCTTAAGTAGTTTACTATTCTATTTGTAGTTAGTTGGTCGATAATTTAGATTATGTTATACGCGCGTATGTTTAGTGCGAATAATTATTAATAATAATAGGTTAAGTTAAATATGATTTCTGTCATTGTATAACTTATTTATGACCTATCCTCTCTTTTCCCCCTCAAATGCCTTGAGCGAAAGTGCCTCACTTACCCCGCAAAATAATTGGTGACAAGGAAGAGATATTTTTGTCACAAACAAAGACTTACCGTCGTTATTGCCGTAGTTTTCTTCTTTGTTACGTTTTTTGTTTATTGAGATTTCCTATTTTCAATATCAAACTCACCTCTACTTTCAGAATCATAATACTTTTTTATGACCGAATCGTGGAGAACTGGAAATACACCTCTTTATTTGATGAAGTTTCAAAGATCTTCTTCAGTATCCATCTCTAAAAGTAATTTATCGCAAATATATAAAACAAATTTGACTAAAAGTTATCTTATACATTATCATTTAATTATGTGTGTGTGTATGTGCGCGCGCGCGCGTGTGTGTGTGTGCGCGCGCGTGTGTGTGTGCGTGTGTGTGTGTGTGTGTGTGTGTGTGTTTGTACGTATGTATAGGATATTTCACGTCAAGCGAATCACCATCACGAACAGAACGTGCTTTGACTGATTGAGACTTATGAGGTCTTAAAATGTTCGTCTCGGAACAGACTTTTGAAAGCCATCTGGCATTTTTCAAAAATGCAAAATGGCAGATCTAATATGACGGTTAAAAACTGAAGAAAACTTGAGTAAATGACAAAAAAGTGTTGTACATGAAAAAAATGTTGTTAATTCGCAACCTACCGGGCCATTTTTCAACTCAAATTGTAGCTGAGAAATAATGTCACTTGAAAACTGATGTGGTTAGATGAAAAAATCCAAAATTGTGGATCCAAGATGGTGGACCGAACATGAAAAATTCAACCGATTCAAACTAAAACCAGTATATAGGGATTTTTAGAAGCTCTAATCAGAAATATGATGTCAGTGATACAGAATTCAAAATGTTGGATCTAATATGGGGGATTGATAACTGCTTTATGCCAAACGGCAATGTCGCCCGAAAAGTATTCATATTTAATTTATTTTTATATGGGTTGTGGCGGTAAGCGTCTTGTTTGCGCTACCGTCTCGATCACGCGGCTGCCTACGAGGGTAGTACCTACTGGCCGGGGAAAGCGGAAAACGGGAACTCGGTACGATATGGGATGGAACGCGCGCGAAGGTACAAGAACCAGTCGAGAATCATCCATCCGAGAATTAAGAAGTGCACAGGAGCTAGACGCAAATACGAACGTTTAAAAAGAGTGCAGAAGCGAGTCCATCAATAATTTCCGTTGTTATTGCCGTTCGGAGTGAGTGGTGATATCACCATCGTAGGCAAAAGCGGCGACCTGAGCTATATTTTGGAAAGACGATATTAATCTGTTCCCCTTGACAGTGCGGCTATTCACATAAGGTAAGCTGGCCAGCTTCGCGTCGTGATTTTTGTTAAACGACCGCGCTTGGTTACTCTCCTCTTACGCCGGCGATTGTAAAAAATTCGGTAGCGAGCATGCAAACGTATATCGTGAGTGAGAGATTATAAACGAAATGATGCATAAGATTGTCGCGTGCACCATATAAACGTAAATGCGCGGGCCAAGCGTACTATAGATTAAATAGGAAATAAACTAGTTCATTTATGATTGAAACGTTAATTTATTATTGTTGTTATTGTTAGTAGTAAGTTGGTTGACTGACACCTGCCCTTCCTGCTCCCCGGTTAGCTAGCAAAATTTGATTATTTCTATCTCGCCGCGCGCATTCCGATACGACTGCGCATTGGATGAGACAACAAAAATAAAACGGAATTTACACCCCGTTACAGGGTATGAAAAGTGACTTAAATATAAAAAAGTTTTTGGAATCATTATTGTATAGGTTATTTTTGTACAATGATACACAACATCGGCACACACAAAAAAGTGGTCTATACTTTTTGAAGACGATGTGTACTCTTATGTATTTTGACTCGCTGAATCGTCGTCAGATATGCCAATATACGTCTAAAATCTTGCGCAAAATCGAAAAATAGCTCATAATCTTTAAAAAACAAGGAAAACCGACGTTTTTTAATGAAACATCGAGCACTTGTATTTTTTACATGTAAAGCTGTCATACTATAAAAGTGCAGTTTGCGTTAAATGTGCTATGTCACACCCGATGAGTGAATGTCTAATACACGAAAGAACAAACGAAATAAAATGTGCAGATTGTCAAGGGAATCACACTCCAAGTGACAGAGAATGCACGGTACATATACAACTCCAAAAGAAACTCTTCCCAAAACTAAGAAGTAAAACTCTCGATCATACAGACACGGACAATATAATGCAAATCAAAACAAATCAAAATAGAGTTAAACAGAACATATCTTACGCATAAACGACAGCTGAACAAAACGTAGATATCAAGGGTGAAAATCTAAAACAAAATAATATACAGTCAATACTTGTAAACCAAAACAAAATATGAAGCAAAATAAATAAACTTGAAAACACACTGGAACAGGAAATGAAAAATATGGATTCCATGATAAATCTACTAAACACTCTCCTATAGAAACTAATTAAATTCTCATAATGTACAGATTAAAACTAGCAAAATAGGACGTAAATGGACTCATGCAGATGTATCTACAAGTATAAACATTTCTAATATAAGAGAATATAGAGATTATGCTAATATCCGAAACACACTTTACTACCAAAAATTATTTGGATATACTGAATTATTCCGTTTACACAATAAATCATCCACTAGACAAAATACACGGAGGCATTGTGATCATAATCACAACAGAAATAAACCACTACGTACACTTGTTCACACGTGAAATTAACTTACAGACTACAAGCCTGATCATAAAAGGCTCGTTAATGGTAACAGCTGTTTACTGTTCTCCAAACAAAATCATCACAAAAGAAAACTGTATAAATTTTCTACAAACACAAGGAAACCACTTCATAGCTGGAAACAATTACATCTGTGGTGGGGCTCAAGATCACAAACTCCTATGCACAGAGGAAAAACTCTATATAAAGCGATGCAAAAGAATAACTGCATCCCAATTTCAAAAGAAATAATAGGACAATTACAAATTACCACTAATTGTTACAACTTACAAGGATGTCATCCGGAAATGCACTTTGCGCTGGCGTAGAGCTTTGTAATTGTCCAATTATTTCTTTTAGAAACAAATTTATAGAATTGTACTGATGGTACAATTTAGACTACAGAAGGTACAATTTTTCTGTGAATTTATTTTTGCTTAATTATGTCTTTTATGTGAACAAATAGGAGGTGAATTATCGATAACGATATTTTTTATTTTTTATGAGAAATATAATGGTACAATAACAAATAATTATTTTTTCGAGAAGTACTATTAGACATGCTCATTTTTTAATACAATTCACCTATTGTTGTAAACAGATTGTAAATATACTTAAAGGAAATAAAAAAATTTTTTCTTTCCACATTATTTCTATTCGTTGTATAAGGCTCATTGCAGCATGAAGGTCACTGAGAGAGGGAGAGAGAGAGATAAAGAGAGATACACAGACATACAGAGCGCATCACGAATGCAGTGAGCCTACAGCATGTCAACGAGCTACATTGCTAAATGAGAAGGTTAGAGAGGGAAAGAGAGAAAGATGTGTTATAAATAGATATGTATGTATGAGCAAGCGAGAGAGTGTTAACGCGTAAGGTTGGTCAATCGGTGAAAGAGAAAGGGCAAAACCTCTTTCACCTGTCGACAATCAAGTAAGAACAGTGAAATCAGTGCGCGTATAGAAGATACATGAGGATGCAATTCTTATTTTCGTTGGGCACTGACACCAATTTTCATGTCACTAGATCCCAGATCTAATTGAAAAATCGAGAAACTAACGAATCCTTGACATATGAGACAAGTTGTTCGCCGACACAGTGAAGTAACGATCAATTACTTTCACTGTATATACTCCAGTTCACCAACATTCAATGCGCGCATACATAGATTCGCTTGAGCGATTCTGTGTTCTCTTTCTTGTTCAAGAAGAGCGATCTCCAAATATTTATTGTAGTACTAGTTCTCTCTGCCGCTGGCCTTTGCTTTATTTCTTTTCTACTCTACGCTGTATTCATTAGTATCTTACTCGGTTTCGATATAAAGGTACTTTTGTTATCCTTTTGTTCATTGAAAGCATCTGACTCCTATTCTACGTTTATTTTTTATTCGTTTGATATCAGCCGTTTTATGATTTCAGCTGCAGCTACTAAAACCCATGATATTCTCGGTGGACTTTGCGATTTGAAAATCTCATTAACAGCCATCTGTAATACTGGACCGGGGTTCGCTCGGTCCACGGAGAAATTTGCTTCATGCTGCTTACCCTAATTATTCTTGTAGATATTATATATTCATGTTACTGCATTTCGTTGCCAAAAATCTTATAATAAATATTAATATATTATAAAATTACTTCTCATTCGAACAATATATAAATTTAATATATTATTTATTATATTTGGAAATTATTTTGTAAATTAATATATAACTAGTAATTAATATCGATCATGAACTTAAAACTATAATTTTTGTTTTAGGAAACTGAAGAACAGTAAATTATTCCAGAAGAATTATATACTCGAAAAATACAGAAAGAAGTGAAAAAAACGATATAAATAATTTTTAGATTGAATATATAACATAAATTCATTGATGTTAACACAGAAATTGAATATTTAATAATAAATATATATCAGAAATTCGACATACAAACATTTGATTTATTCATCATTTGGTCGATAAGTTCCTTATTTCTCTCTTCTGTAAAGTGGTTACTTTATATAGTTTGTTATACCAATCATATAACAAAATTCATGAAACAAATATAAAAATATAAGATTGAAGCTGTAGCAGAGAAATATAAAAGTTTTTACCGCTTGCTAAATTCTCACCACAGCTTACACATTTGTGGCGACTCGTTTCCCCAACTTTGTTAAATGGGGAGTCAGGCTACCGTTTTTTTGGTTATGACTGTCGTTGAGGATTCAAGTGAGAAATGCGAAAAAAGAATCTCAATTACATCTATTGATTGCGGTAGAAGAGAGTTATGATTTTACGTTAGGATCACCGATGATCAAAATTGACTGATCCTTAGCTTAGTCTCATACTTTGTCTTTGCTTTTGTGTCTCAAAGATAAAGGTTAATCAGGGCTAGCTTTTGTCAACAACTCTTCTCCCAGAACTAGGCATCTATAATAGGATTCATTGTATCTGTGAATCATATAATCCTATCGGCTCGGTTTACATGTATTATTTTACCTCAGATATAAATACGAGTATATATAAGTCAATTTCGCTCTTTATATGTCATTTTCGCAATCCATTGTTTATTAGGTATAGGTCCTCTTATACATTATAATAAGGGATCATATACGAGGGTCGTTTGAAAAGTCCGTGCAAAGTCAGAGAGATGGCGCTACTAGTACGTATCAAGGTTATTTTTAGTTAGTGGCATATCTTGGAAGAGCACACACCAAGTTTCAGCCAGATCGGCCAATTACTTTGCGTTTTACATTCGTTTCAATCAAAGAAATCAAGCGGTTGTAAAAAAATGGACGAAAAGAATTTCGTATATTGATTAAACATTACTTTTTCAAAGGCAAAACGCCTCAGGAGATTAAACAGAAGCTTGATAAATATTATGGCGATTGTGCACCTTCGATTAGAATATGAGCCATATGAGCACAAAAGACGCTGACCGTTCTGGACGCCCTGTTGAGGTTACCACTTCAGAAATCATTGATAAAATCCATGATATGGTGTGATGGCTGACAGAAGAGTGAAGGTGCGTGAGATTGCTAGTACTGTAGGCATCTCGAGCGAACGGGTACATAATATTTTGCACCAACATTCGGACATGAAAAAGCTATCCGCTAGATGGGTGCCGCGATTGCTCACGATTGACCAATAACGAGATCGTGTGAAGTGTTGCTAGAATGGTTTGCAGCTGTTCCAGCAAAATCCGCAAGACTTTAAGCGTCGTTTCATCACTGTTGATGAAACATGGCTACATCACTACACTTCTACAGACTAAAGAATAGTCTAAACAATGGGTTACCAAGGGGGAATCTGCTCCGAAAAAGGCGAAGAGAATTCTTTCGGCCGGGAAGGTTATGGCAACTGTCTTTTGGGATTCGCAAGGAATAATCTTCATCGACTATCTGGAAAAGGGTATAACCATTACAGGCGAATATTATTCATCGTTATCGGATCGTTTTAAAACCGAGTTGCTTTGAGAAACGTCCACGATTGGCCCACAAAAAAGTCCTCTTCCACCACGACAATGCGCCAGCTCACGCCTCAGCAGTTGTGGCCGCAAAACTGATGGAGATAGGGTTCCAACTCATTTCACATCCCCCCTATTCTCCATACTTGGCTCCGTCGGACTACTATTTGTTCCCTAATATGAAAAAATGGCTGTCGGGGAAAAGATTTTATTCAAACGAGGAGGTGATTGCAGAAACGAATGCCTACACAACATTTTGTTTTAATCTTTGTTAAAAGTTATGCAAAAACTATTGAAATGTTACAAACAAAACACCAATCTTTGCAGTGGAAGCTTCCATGCGAACGTCGGTCAAAAATAGCCCATCAAAGTTGAAGGAACATCATGTTATTGTTGATTGTTTTTTTCGATTATAAGGGTGTTGTAACCCACAAATATACTTCTTCAGACCAGATAATCGACAAAGAGTACTACATTAAAGTTTTCAAAAGATTGCGTGATGCAATTAGGAAAATGACCGCACCTTTGAAAGATCGGTGACTGGCTCCTTCATCACGAAAATGCTCCAGCGCTCGCATCAAACCTTGTAGAACAGTATTTATTGAAACACAGTGTTGTGCAGCTCCTCCAGCCTCCATACAGTCTCGATATAGCTCCTTGCGACTTTTGACTGTTTCTTTGATTGAAAATGCCGCTTAATGGATATTGATTCGACGACAAAGAAACTGTTGAAACTAATGCGAAGAATCCACTAAAGGCGATTCCGAAGTTTGACTTTCAAGAGGGCTTTAATAATTGGAAGCATCGATATAAACATTTTATTCAATCAAGTGGGGATTACTATGAAGGATGCTACCCCCTCCTACCTCCCGGATGTCGAAGATTAAATCAAGCGCTAAAAAATCGATGTAGATCGGATACTTATGGGACAGACCTCGTATAAAAAGTGTCATAAGAAAAGCTGATGTTTGTATTATGGATAAAGGTTTCAGGAACATGATACCTTATTTAGGAAGTCGTGGAATTAGAGTTTTCATGATCACCTCGAAAGGAAAAAAGCCGAAGTTAGCAGTAACTGAGTCTTATGAGTCTTTTTATGTTACAAAATTAAGATGGGTTTTAGAGGCTTTTCACAAATTTCTTGGAAAAAATATAAACTTCTTCATCAGCAGTTGGACAATAAGCTTCTACCAAAAACTGGTTCATATTGTAAAATTGCATGTTTTCTAAACAATCGTTTTGGAAAGTGTTTGAAGAGTGATGAAGATGACGACGGATTACAAGACATTATTATTGAAATAGTGTTGGTCCAGGAGACCCACTACGACAACCAAGCTAACATCATCACTGACTTTCCAAATATAACTGATATGAGATTTAAAAATATTTTTTATGAATACCTATCAATTATACCAAGCTATCTACTATCTGGCTGAGTTAATGGATGACATGGCAAGATGAAGCCAAATATTATTAAAGCACTAATACGATCTAGCCATATAAATAGTAAAACCTACAAATGCTATGTTAAATACAAATCTAATGCAATAGGGTACAACCATATTTTGCACCATACATACCGCTAATCTAATGAATTACACACTGAAAGCTCTTGTTCTTATATTGCAGCAGATATTTATTATCTTAGTAGTGCAAAATATACGTCTAAAATTAGTAGACCAGCAAAATTTCTTTCTGGTCTATTTGCTACTGTAAATATTGACTCAGTTATGAATGAAAATAGTGACAAAGATTAAATGGAGTTATAGTAGAATATTGAAATTCTTAAGAATTTTCATTTATGCAATTTTATCACTTACTCGTACTATAAAAATTTGTTATTATTTTTTGGAAAAATCAAATATATTTATTTCCCTAAAAATAAACTTGATTTCTATTAAAAACATTTACTTTGTTCTAGCTTCAAATTAATTATAATAAGTAATGATTTACTAATAATATATAATTTCCCTGAACCTATCTGTCACTTTACGGTAACAGCGAAGTAATCCTTCAATCTAAAAAAATACGGAGCTTGAAAGAAAAATATCTTAGAGTAATTAAATATTTTCCAAGACTTATTAAACTATATCATCCCTGCTAAAACAAGAACATTCAACCGGATTGATTCATGCAAAATCGACACACTCTGATATGTTTTTTCATCTAAAGACGTTTCACTATATCTCAAACAACCCACTACATTATTTATTTCAAAAGTTACACTCTCCTGCTCAGTATCCATTTTCATCCTTAGACTTCTCATAGTATCATAGCCTATGATGCACTCCTTTACTAAATGTGGAATAATGAGAAAAGTTAGATCTACGCAAAGGTCACCTAATTTAACATTTAAATAACTTTGCTTTTTCAGCTTAACCGTTTTTTGTCCAGTGGCCACTTTAATTACATGTCCACTAATAGGCAAGGTCGGTTTTAGATTGAAAGTGGATGCATTTCGATTATAAAATTCATCGGAGATAGCTGAAATCTCGCTACCCGAATCTATCAACGCGTTAACCGAAATGCCTTCTATAATAACTTTAATTTCAGGGCATTTTCTAATATAAGTGTTATCTTCGTTGTTTTCAAGCTCATTCTTAATCTCATCCCGAGGATCATCAAATATAGTGCATATTGATCTATCCTTTGAATCTTTACTCAAATCGCAATTATTTACCGTTGCTACTCGCTGAGATTTGTTTTTCTTATCCGAGTTGCGAGAAGCAACGCTTACTCGTTTCCCGAGGATGCAGTGTTTTCTTGGAATTTTACTGAGTCTTTACTGATCTCCTCAAAGGAGGCTTTGGGCTTGCGCTCTCGCCGTTTATTTTGAGGTTTTTGAATCGAAGAATTGATTGAAATGCTATTGACTTGATGTTCATTAGCGTTCTCTTTAGATGAGTTGCGATTACTCACATAATCGTCGTTATCAAATGAAGAGAGGATTCTAATAAATTCAGATACTTTGCGTACGCTTTTAGCTTGCACTAGTAAGCGTACATCCTTATCAAAATGACGTGAGAGTTTATCGATGAGTTCTTCCTCCTCTAAGCTCTCGTTAATATCATAAGCTAATTTTATTTTGCGAATTGCATAATTATACCTAGATATTTTACCACTAGGGTAATACTTTCCAAATTCAATTTCCCGCATAATGTTTCTACGGATTTCTGCATTCCAAAATTTTTCTCTAAACAAACGTTCAAAATCATTAAAATTATTGATTTCCCGTTGTACTAGATCATACCAAGCAGAATTCACACCGGCTATTGATTGGGAAATTAAACAAAGCAACTGAGCCGTGTTACAATTGCTTGCTTGTAAATATCTTTTGAAATCATTTAGATATTTAATGGGGCGATATTTGTAGCTGTCATCAAACTTTGGGCACGTCAACGTGGGCTGTTTGAAAGTCTGTACTATCGTCTCGTTAACCGTATGTTTACTGTTTTCATTTACTATTGATTTCTC